TTATTAATGGGCCAGGGTAGCTAGCCTAGCCTTCGCAGCGATAATTGGTATCTAAAGATGAGGCGCTACCCCAAATAACTCTGTACTAGGTAGGGGACAACATGGTGAGTGCTAATCTGTTTGTCACCCATTACGGAGTTTGTTGGCGAACCCATCCCACAGATCATGAAGTCACCCAAGGTTGAGGGCGCTACCCCCCCCCCCCCCCCCCCCCCCCCCCCCCCCCCCCCCCCCCCCCCCCCCCCCCCCCCCCCCCCCCCCCCCCCCCCCCCCCCCCCCCCCCCCCCCCCCCCCCCCCCCCCCCCAGTACGTGCCAGCTCTACTAGTTACCTGCATGATCAACGCTCTCCCATACGATTGATCCACCGTGTGCAGTAGTCTATCTATCTCTTAGTAACACAACCCTCATTAGCATCATGCCTAGCTTGAAGATACCGTACTAGAGTGGGAAAAAAAATGGCAGCTCCTCATACATTATACCAGCGGCTAACAACCTAGATGGCTACCATTGTTTATTCGGATTGCTGAGGTGGTTTCTAGGTCTGTAAGGGGGTTTGGGAGTCTCAATAGGGATTCTCGTCTCTAGGTTTATCATATTCAATTCCCTGAGTCTGTTCGATCAGGAGCACTAGAGCCCCACCCACTAATCGTCTCTCACGATTTAGCTCCACTCATAACTCTGGAGGCATTGCACCCTAGGTCATGGTCTAGCCAAACTAACGTTCTCATCCTAGGTTTAAGCTATTTCTACTGCTTACTCTCTCTATGGGGAAAATTTTCACATTCATTGACTTGAAGGTAGTGTACAAATAATAATGCAACAGTCACACATGCTGAACGGGGTGATAACATCCATCAAACACCCAAAGCGCATATACAAAAAAATTTAATCCACCATCTTAGCATAATTATGTACAAGTAGTAATAAAATATTGATAAACGGGGTACAATCTAGATAATCCAACATCAAGTGTGTCTACTTCCATAATTATTACATCTACCTAAGCATTAGGATATACGAAACAAGCCACCTATGATTGATTTTTTCTAGCATGCATAACCAAGTAATTACTACAAGCATTGCATTCTAATTTGCTTGTGGTTATTTACAGGTTGGTCGTGTACCTTTTCGAGTACGATTTCCCACCAAAGAGGTGTCCAAAATTTCTAATTTTCCTTTAGTATGACCTAATTCACATCAAATGAGATTAATATTAAAATCGAGATGAAAAATTGACAAATTGGGGGTCAAATGACAAAGAAAAGGTGATTCACATGTGGCTCATGCATTCTACACACACTGAAAGGTATCCTTATGCATGTGTATCATGAGCCAAACGAAGCTACAATCGCGGGTTCTAGGCCAGTGCACGGGTCAGGTCAGGTCAAATGGTGGGGGCTGGGTCAGCCTAATTCGCAAGTGCTAGTTTGAGTTTACACACTAGTTCTCGGGTTGAGTCGTGGATGTAGGTTGTAAGTACGGATTGGTTACCAGGTCGCAGGAATGGTTCAGGTCACACTGGGTGTCGTTGCTTGAGGGAGGATGCATTCATCTGGTTTGCATTTGACGTTATGTCCACCTCTGGCTAGGACATGCTACTACTACCGTTGATCGATGCGTGTCCTATCATCGTTCTTTGGTTCCCCTGGTTAATTTTTTCGTATTTTTCCTCAAGTTTTACATTTCAAACGTATTTCTTTGTATTTTCATAACCAATCATAGACCTTAATAAACGCGACTAAAGTTTGTAATCTATTTAATTTTGTAAATGATTATAAACAGAGAGTTTTCACCCCTTTTAAGTGGGGTGATTTTAGCAAATATTCTATGAATATCAATTTGGCCTTCAATTTTTTAATTATTTTTTTATAGTCTTCTACCACCGTTGATTATAGGTGGTCATGGGATAGTGTAGTTGTTCACCACCACTTTTAGTTGATTTCATCCTGGGAAGAATATGTCGCCTTGAGCTAGGATGGCTAGGTAAAGTAGGAGAAGGAAATCACTCAAGGAAAAATCGATATGGATCACTTCATGATCGACTCAGCTTGATTCAACTTGGTTCAATCCGTTTCATAGTTGATTCAGCCCGTTTGGGGGATAGTTTAGACCGAGAGTCATTTTTAAAATGAAATTGAATGAGTTGTTTAATTTCAAATATATCACATTTAGTTGAAATTTGAAAAGACTAGTCATTAAAAAAAAAAAAAAAAAAAAAAAAAATCCTTTATTAAAGTAATTCAACCATATTTCTTAAAAAAAATATAAATTAGGAATATTTTCTCTAATTTATAAGAATTTTGAAAGATTAAGAAAACGATATTTTAAAATTTTTGATGGTAACAAGTTTGAATGTTGGATTGACATTTAAAAAGAAAGAAAAAAATCAGCTAAATTTGTGATGATGAATTGACAATTTTGCCCTTGTCTTAAAGATATTATTTTTGAGATTCCTAGAGGACCAACAACACCATAGCCTCTTGTTTTATATATATATAGAAGGATGAAAGGAAAAATTACATTTTTGGTCTATTTTTTGATAAGTCGTCTCAGGCAGGTAGAAGGTACTATTGGGGGAGTTTTAGATGTTTTTAGTGGAGAGGCTAACTTGCACTATTCTAGTTTAGAATGGTGTAGGAATAGGGAACTTGTTGGGTGCCATTACAGTAGTTTTCAGTTAGCGTTTAGTAGTAGAGACGTACGGAGATATAGGGAGATTAAGAGGTTACCTATAGTAAGCAGCAACTCCTCCATACGAGGGCACCTCGATTTATGTGCATGAAGTGCAATGACCAAATGGACCATGAAGAGTAGAAAACGAGAGACTAAATGCACTTTGAAAAACCCAAATACACCCTAATGAGTGACCTACACCTCAGACATAGAAGTAGAATATATGAATTTTAAGAGCCTAAAAGTGATATAGGTGAACCAAAGTCATAGAACTGACCAACTTTAAGACATGTTTGCCGAATATTTTTATACTAATTCCTGTTACGTATAGATTATAGACTATTGTTTGATAATGGGGCTTGCAGAGTGTGAGTCGCCTCCTTTTATGTCGTTTTTATTATTTTTAGTGTTGTTTTGTTGAAAGGATGAATTTTCCTTTCTAAAATGATTTATTGTAGCTGAATTTATATTTAATTTGCATGTTATATAAAACAATAATGTTATTGAAGTCTTTTCATTTCTTTTTTCCTCTGTTTAAATGGCCTTTATTTAAAGTTATGATTTAATCATTAAAGATTTGATCTGAAAGTGACAAATTTTATCCAAATAGAGCCACATTTTTATATATAATAATCAATATTAAATCAAATAACAATATATACAATAATACAGAGTGAGTTTTGCCATTTTTATTATTTAAAAAGCCTGCAATTTTCCTTTTTAAATCATCAAGTTTAATTAATTATCATAAAATAATTAAAACCTTAATAAATAGAAGAAGAAAAAAAAGGAAAATGGAGATTTATAATTCAATTATTTTCAATTCTTTTTTAAATGTATCTATGGTCACGATGATAATGATATTGTCCACCTTGAGCATAAACTCTCGTGACTTTGCTTTAGATTTCTCCAAAAGGCTTCATACCGAGAGTCTTCTTTGATTATAATAAACCCATGATCATTCCCTAAATTAGTCGATGTGGGACTTTTATCATCCAACATCTGTCTTATGCTCTCGATTATTATGTTTTTATAACTAGTAACATTATACATGCATCTCCTTTTTCTTTCATAAGCTTCACCTCCCCGCTCTTCTTCAACAACCTCTTCACTCTCATCTTCATTTGATGATGCCAAGTAATGTGTTAAGCGACACAAACACAAGGTCTCGTGAACACCACACAATGACTAGCGGCAATGTACACTATTTTTTTTTTTTTAACGTGCAACAAATTCACATGAAGGATTGAAACAAGTGAAGTCGAAGAGATCGAGAGAGCGAAAAGGAAAGTAAGAAGAGTATAAATTTTTATTTAAACACAATTTTTTTTAGAACGTATATAAAATAAAAAAAAACAAAAAAAAAAAAAAACTCGAATTATAAGATTTCATCTAGTTTTAATAATAGTCAGCTCTCAAGTCGAAGAGGACGAAGAATGGTGGATGCACGAAAACAAGTTGAGATGTGATGTAGCTAATGATGGGGACGTCAATTATAAATGAGTGAGATAGGAGAAAGATCTTGTGAATTTAATAATATCGGGTAGAAAAAAATAAGTATTTTGTATCTTAATAATTTAGCATTTATTTTTGTTAAATAAAATTTGATTTTCTTTTTCCGCTCAGTTTAGAGAAATTATTTAGTAAATTAACAAATATTTATAATTAATTGACTTAAATTAGCGTTAAAAATTGGTATTAATACAAACAAATGGCGTTAAAATGAGTGGAAAAGAATTAAAGAAAAAGGAGTGGCGCATATATAAATATGTTTTGATATATAAAAATATCTCTGAGCAAACGTCAGATATTGGAAAACAAATATAATATATATATATATATTTATTTCAAGGAAAAAATAAATCACAATGGCTATCATGATGACACGTGTATAACCCACCACTCATTCTCAACCCTTCGTTTTCTATCCTCTCCCCACGTGTCCCCTCCCAGATATTTATAACTTTTTTTTTATTTTTTAAAACTTTTTTATAAACTCAGCAGGGTTCCATTTTTTTTTTTAATTATTTTAAAATTCTCATTTATTATACTTATTTATAATAAAGTTATCATCAAACTTATAACGGATTATTATAAAAATAAAATATAAAAATAAAATATTTTTCGTAATAGTTTGAATAATATAGTATTGGATTAAAGTGTAACCCTATTTTGATTTTAAGTTCATTGGATTGATTTTTCACGGTCATGAAATTAAAAAAAAAAAAATTAAATATCTAAATATAATAATTATATTTTGTAAATATTTGAAATTTAGATGTAAAATTGTGTGCGGTAGTCTTCGATATCTTCTATAAAACCCGTCTTCCGCCCATCTCCTTCACACACACTCATCCCAAAATTACATCTCCTCTGTTTTCATCTGCTTCAAAAATGGCCTCCATTGCTTCCTCTCTCCCCACCAAGCTTCACAGGCCCTCCTTGCTCGACTCCTCCTTCCATGGCTCCCCTTTGCTCCCTACTCCTTCTTTCCGCCTCAAACCCACCACCGCTGCCGCCTCCCTCTCCATCTCCGCCTCCGCCGCTCAGCCTCCCTACGATTTGAACCAATTCAAATTCAACCCCATCAGGGAGTCCATCGTCTCCCGGGAGATGACCCGCCGCTACATGACCGACATGATCACTTACGCCGACACTGACGTCATTGTCGTCGGAGCTGGATCCGCCGGTCTCTCTTGCGCTTATGAACTCAGCAAAGACCCCTCTGTTCGAGTCGCCATCATCGAACAGTCCGTCAGCCCTGGCGGCGGTGCATGGCTTGGCGGCCAGCTCTTCTCTGCTATGGTAACAAATTCATTTCCCTTTCCATTTATACCCATAACGTCTCATTTTCTTCTTTTTTTCTTCCATATTTGGATGGTTGCTCTGTTTTTGGTTCTTTCATTGGAAATACCCAAAATTTCGAAAAACCCACACAGCTTTTCATGATTTGTACTCATGCATGTCGTTTTAGAACCCCGAGATTGAATTTAATTGGGAGATTTGAAGTTCTTAGGCCTGGGAAAATGTTTGATTTTGAGTTGAATTTAACAGGTGGTGCGGAAGCCAGCCCATTACTTCTTGGACGAGCTGGAAGTGGAGTACGACGAACAAGAGGACTATGTCGTGATAAAGCACGCGGCTCTGTTCACATCAACGATCATGAGCAAGCTGTTGGCCCGGCCGAACGTGAAGCTGTTCAACGCCGTGGCGGCAGAGGATTTGATCGTTAAGGAAGGCAGAGTCGGCGGCGTGGTCACCAACTGGGCGCTGGTGTCCATGAACCACGACACACAGTCCTGCATGGACCCCAATGTGATGGAAGCTAAGGTCGTAGTCAGCTCATGCGGGCACGACGGACCATTCGGCGCCACGGGAGTGAAGCGGCTGAAGAGCATCGGGATGATTGACAGCGTGCCGGGAATGAAGGCGCTGGACATGAACACGGCTGAGGATGCCATTGTTAGATTCACCAGAGAGGTGGTTCCGGGAATGATTGTGACAGGGATGGAGGTTGCGGAGATCGACGGAGCGCCAAGAATGGTAAGAATGGGTGATGAAATTGAATAAATGAGGATGAAATTGAATGAATTGAAATGAGATATTTTGAATTGGTGGATGCAGGGGCCGACGTTCGGGGCGATGATGATATCAGGGCAGAAGGCGGCGCACTTGGCGCTGAAGGCGTTGGGGAAGGCGAACAGCATTGATGAGAAGGGGGAGAACGGAGGAAGGAAGGTGGAAGCAGCAGAGATGGTACTGGCGGCGGGAGAGACGCCGGAGGTTGCAGATGCTTGAAGTTTTTCATTTAATTTGGTTTGGGGTTGGTGTGTTTGTTCGTTTGTAGTGAGTTTTGAGTGAAGAAGAAAGGGGTTGGGTTTTTCATGTGATAGCTCTGTTGTTTTCGTAGCATGATGGGTTGGCGTTGGGGTTTGTGGCTCAGTCAAACACAATATCAGTTGCCTTTTTTCTTTTTTTGTCTCTCTTTTTGGTTAATAAATATGGGGTTTCCAAGATCTCTCTCCCATTTGGATGAAAGTTACACCTCCGAATGTTCTTCATTGCTATAAGGCCTTTTGGGATGTCCAAAGGAAGACCACCTTTTGAGATGTCGAAGACCACTAGACTTTATACTTAAAGTGAACAATATCATATTATTGTTAAAGTGCACAATATCATATCATCCTTAAGAAGGAGGCGTGTTTGTCTAACACACATAATTGTCATAATTGTCGACCCACCTATTGGTTCTTTGATAACATGTAACCATTAGTCAAAAATGAACTCCCTTAGCCAATCAAGATTTATTCTCCACACATTACGACTTAGAAGGGTAGGTTGGTTCTTTGATAACATGTAACCATTAGTCAAAAATGAACTCCCTTAGCCAATCAAGATTTATTCTCCACACATTACGACTTAGAAGGGTAGGTTGGTTCTTTGATAACATGTAACCATTAGTCAAAAATGAACTCCCTTAGCCAATCAAGATTTATTCTCCACACATTACGACTTAGAAGGGTAGGTTGGTTCTTTGATAACATGTAACCATTAGTCAAAAATGAACTCCCTTAGCCAATCAAGATTTATTCTCCACACATTACGACTTAGAAGGGTAGGTTGGTTCTTTGATAACATGTAACCATTAGTCAAAAATGAACTCCCTTAGCCAATCAAGATTTATTCTCCACACATTACGACTTAGAAGGGTAGGTTGGTTCTTTGATAACATGTAACCATTAGTCAAAAATGAACTCCCTTAGCCAATCAAGATTCATTCTCCACACATTACGACTTAGAAGGGTAGGGTAATACAAAGTTAAGATGTAATCGATCCAAGAACATCAACACTCAGTTCAAAGACTCGTTCTCATAAAAACAAGAGGTGCGTTTGAGTCTTCCATATCATCATGAAGCATTGTAAATGATTAATAGACCCTTTAAGAATTTATGAACAAGTTTATTAACTTTTTATATAAAAAAAATTACAAATTTTATCTTTTAAGTTAATATACTTTTTTTTTTCTTTTTTTCTTTTTTATTTAAATTAATAGGGTTAAGAAAATGCTTGAGAAAAGGAAGCGAAGGAAGCAGAGTCAGTTTGTGGAGGGGGCGAAAATGGCGGTAACACCAGAGGCAGAAAATGAACCTGACTCTCTCTTCTTCTTCTTCTTTCTCCTCCTCTCTTTCGTAACAATCCCTTTCCATTTCCGACTTTCCCCCACTCATTTTCCCCCACTCATTTTCCCCCCTGCACCGCCGCGTCATTGCGCGGCGCAGCTTCCCACCTTCCTTCACTATCTTTTATACCTACCAAAACAAAAATACACACACCAAACCCATTTTCAATTTCAATTTCTCTCCGCTTATCATCCTAAGTCCTTCCGGCATGCAATTTCCAATGCAAGGTTTGATCCACCTTTCCCTCCTTATTTCCCTGCTTCTTTCCCATTTTTCTATCTGTTTCGGACAAGACTACATCATCGGCGACGGAGCCGGTACCGTCGGCGGTGGCGGTGGAGGTGGCGGTGGCGGTGCTGGTGCTGGTGCTGGTGCCGGCGAAGCCGACGCGAAGGGGGCAACACCACCGCCGGAGCAGAACAACTGCAATGGCATATTCTTGTCGTACACTTTCGTTTCGCGCGAGAAGGTGTTTCCCCGACTGAAAAACGTGACGGCTCAGCCATGGGCTTTCAGGTCGGAGGCGATGATTCTAAACGCCGGATCTACGGAGCTTAAGGCATGGAAGATGTTCATCGGCTTTCAAAACCACGAGATCCTGGTGTCGGTCAACGGCGCCGTGGTGATAGATGGGTCGGATTTCCCTGTGATGGTTGGGAACGGAACCACCTTGGCTGGTTACCCAATGACGGATCTGAAAACGTCGATTGAAACTGCCGGCAATATGGATGAGATTCAGGTGAACGTGGAGATGGTCGGAACGATGTTCGGCATCAAGCCTCCTGGTTTTCCAATGCCTAAGACCATTAACCTTGTTAACGATGGGTACAAGTGCCCTGCGCCTCGCCGTCGCGGTATTCTTTCCACTTTCCTTTTAACTTTTCTACTTCTAACCTTAGGGTAGAGAAGGAATGTTAGGACTATCATTACCTCTTATGGTTTCGAACAAAGTACAATATAGATCCTCCCCGAGGCTTATGGAACCCTTGAATAACCTAGGCTCGACTTCTTCTTAGGAGCCTTTGAACAAAATACATTAGAGTCACAACTTTGGAGCCCTCGAACAAAATACATTAGTTTGACACCTGAGTCACAACTTTTTTGTTCGACATTTGTTATAGCTAAGTTAAGGGCATGACTCTAGTACCGTGTTAGGAATAAAAGACTCTACAATGGTATGATATTGTCCAGCTTTTGCTTTGGGCTCTCCCAAAAGCCTCGTAATCAATGGAGATGTATTCCTTACTTATAAATTAGTCAGTGGACTGCCTCCCAATAATCCTCAACCGAAGAAAGCTGTTCGTTACATTTTTATTGTCCTGTTTTCGTATTGGAAAGCTGTAACAATTTAGTTGTTTGTTTGAATGACTGATACATAGGAAAAAGAACAATGCATATATGCTGCACAAAGGATCCAAAATTCAAGGTGAAACCACCAGAGAAAACCAAATTTTTTCCTCGCCAAGATGGAGATCTCTCACTAACCTATGATGTAATGCAAGCTTATGGAAATAACTATCTTGCTCAAGTTACAATTGACAACAACAATCCCTTGGGCCGTCTGGATCACTGGAACTTAACATGGGAATGGATGAGAGGAGAGTTCATTCATAGCATGAGAGGAGCATATACTTATACAAGAGATATCTCTCAATGCATTTACGGTCCGACAGGCCAATTCTATCAAGATTTCGACTTCACCGGAGTCATGAGTTGTGATAAGAGGCCAGTGATCGCAGATCTCCCGGTGGAACGAAAGGACGATGACAAGATCGGAAAGTTGCCATATTGTTGTAGGAATGGAACTTTGTTACCAACCATGATGGATGAAAGCAAAGCCAGGTCTATTTTTCAACTACAAGTCTTTAAGCTTCCACCAGACATGAACAGAACAGCTCTTACTCCACCACAAAAATGGAAGATCACCGGCATTCTCAACCCGAAATACGTATGCGGGCCACCGCTCCGAGTCGATCCTACCGAGTTTCCAGACCTGAGTGGGCTTCATTCAACAAGTACAGCAATTGCAAGTTGGCAAGTTGTGTGCAACATTACAAGGCCAAAGATGAAACAATCAAAATGCTGTGTTTCATTTTCAGCATATTATAATGACTCTGTGATTCCGTGTAATACTTGTGCATGTGGGTGTGAAGACATTGATACTGATACTTGCAATCCAAATGCAAAGGCAATGATGCTACCTCCAGAAGCTCTTTTGGTGCCATTTCATAACAGGACAGCCAAGGCAAGAGCTTGGGCTAGAATCAAGCGCTACCCAAATCCTAAAAAGTTGCCTTGTCCTGATAACTGTGGTGTTAGCTTGAATTGGCATATTAACTCAGATTATGCCGGTGGATGGACTGCAAGACTAACACTTTTCAACTGGGAAGATTACCCATTTGCGGATTGGTTCACTGCTGTTCAGTTGGACAAGGCCGGCCGTGGCTATGAAAACGTTTATTCCTTCAATGGCACCCTGCTTCCCAACCTCAAGAACACCATCTTCCTTCAAGGCTTGCCTGGTTTAACATACTTGATGGGGGAGGTCAATGGGACTCATCCTGAAGCCGACCCAAGAATTCCAGGGAAGCAGCAATCTGTGATTTCTTTCAACAAGAAGGGCATTCACGACTTCGACATACTACTCGGTGATGGTTTCCCGAATAAAGTTATTTTCAACGGCGAAGAATGTTCACTTCCGAGTGAAATTCCCCTGGCAAGTTCAGGCCAACGTTCCAGCCATGCTCTTATGCCAATCATCTGCGTCTTAGCCATTACTTTCATGCATATCACACATCGCATACATTGATCCGACCAATCATGTAGGCCTAAATGATATTGGAAGACTGCTTTGAATACCTGTAGCAGATATATGGTTTATAGATAAAAGTTTGAGCTGACGATGACGACGACGACGTCGACAACCCAGCAATCTGTTAAGGGGTCCTCAATTGGAAGGACAACAATCTGCCATTGAAAATGGGAGATTTTCAGGAGTTTTTTTTTTTGTACATATGATTTTTTTGATCCGTTGGGATTAGGTTGAAAGAAATTTTAGTGTTTGAGCCAAGTTCAACGATGAATGTCATTAGTTGTAACTGGACAGTGTCTGTTTGTTTTGTTTTTGTTTATTTATATGTGAGACTTAATTTGTCTCCAGATTCAAATAATATTTAGTGTTACAATTTTTTCGAAGTCTACAGATTCATTAACCATGCATTTGGACTTTGTTTGAAAAGAAAACATGTAATTCATTCATAAATTCAGGTTTGGGGTGTTTTAATCATGTTTCTAAAGAGACAATCGCTAGAACCTGAGAGAAGAAATCTACACTCATCAAAGATATTATTGCTCAGATTCATCCGAGCATTCTAGCAGTATGACGGTATCCAGAATCTCCACATCCTATCCACTCCAAAATGCCCTTAGTGCTAGGAGAGCTCTACCAAGTGGTATTAGAACATGTATCGTCGAGCCAGGCCTAGGTCTGAAAAGTGTAGCGCGACGAGGCAACTAGGTGCCACTATCATGTGTGGAAACAGTCAAGGGTCCCTTGAACAAGCTCGTTGTACTATAAACCTGCCTTGAGAGTGGTGAGAGATCACATGGGTAGAGTGGTGAGAGATCACATGGGTAGACTGAGTAGTTGGCAGGCACACAAGGTCACTCTCCCAAATGTTGATTGTATGGTTTTTCTTGTGGAAGGGTCACCAGTTAACCTTACACAAAGGTGTTCACACGATATATCATATTGTCCTATGAGATGCGTTGAAGTCGCACCTCATCCCAGGATACCAGAGATGAGATTCGTCATTATTGGGACTATGTAAGCGTGCTAAGTGTCACGGTCATGCATGTCCAGGATGTGTTGTCCATGGTTGCATGTCTGTTCCAAACCCCTTTTACATGCTTTCATTCTAGATATGTCTTTACCATTCCATATTGGGTCAGTATGAGGGTATATGACCGTTCACCAAAAATTGTGTCTACACCTGCAAGGGCTAAAATGCCCCAAAATGTACTATATGGGGATACGACCAGTTGTCAACTTCTTCCTACCTGATAGTTATATGCAGTAAGTCGTTGTTGTTGCCTTTTTGCTTACATTCTCATATAACACCATTTCCAATTTCTTAAATCTTGCTTTCAAAACTCGCTTTCGAAATCTCTCTGCCCCGTTTTCTAAAAACCTTCTTCTTGAACCGGGGACAGAGGCTCGAGCATACGTCGCTTGGTCGTAGGTGACGCAAGAACGAATAGGCTTAACTCACTTGTTGCTGGGAAGTGAGTGCCGCACAATCACAAGTTTGCTGCCATCAAAATGCGATTGTGACAAGTGGTATCGAGCCAAGTTCGGCTCCTTGGAAAGTATTACGCAGACATGCCCACCAAGAAACAACTGGGCAAGTTCCAAGCTGATCGATTAGCTAAAATCGAAGAACAGTTACTCTGCATGAGTGAAATTCCCGATGGAATGGGGCTTTTGGAATCTCGCATGAATGAGATGTCCACTAAAGCCGACAGGTTTAACGAGATGGCACACCACTTTGAAACAATGCCTATCCTTGAATTAATGACGAGGGTCGAGGCCTTAGAAGACAAGGTCACAAGAGCTAGTATCTTTGAATGAGGGGATTGTTCGACGGGCTCTGTTGTTCGAACGGAGGAATGCGTCGAGGGCTTAGACAATGCTCAACTGGCAATTGTCCATATGGTCTCAGAATTTTCTGAAGACTTTATTTAGAGAATCCCTTAGAATGGTCAGGGCCGAAGTGGTGGATCTAGACACCAAACTAAACCTCACTATGGGAGGAGTGAGGGACCAAACCCCAACCTGGGGGTGTAGCACGATTTAACAAGATAAAGGTTCCAGAGCCCAAACCCTTATGTGGGGTTCGAGATGCCAAGGCTCTAGAGAACTTTATCTTCACCTTCAACAATACTTTCGAGCCACAAATATCGTGGCAGAGGAAGTGAAGGCTGGCGACAATGCACCTAGCCGACGACACAAAGTTATGGTGGAGGTCCAAGTACATGGACATTCAAGATGGTCGATGTATTGTGGACACTTGGGATAACTTGAAACAAGAACTCCTTTCCCAGTTTCTGTAACGCCCCTAATTTTCTCTAACCTAATTAGCGACGTTACCTTGTACTTGTATAACGAAAGAGCGAGAGTTCACGTAGGACAGTCTCAATAACGACAATACGTTCATTATTATAAGCAGTTCATACCTGGGGGAAAACAATAACGACAACCTAACATAGAAATAATCAACAGGAACAATTGCAATAACTATTAACCGAGAGAATCCAACAAGACTCCTACGACACTGCAAACCCTCCTTATGACTTCCATGGCCTTCGCAACGTTCGCCATTAACTGTACATGGGGGCCTTGCCCTTACCTAAAAATATGGGTAGCACGTGTCTTGAGTATTATATAAAATACCCAGTAAGTTACCCCACTGTTGGGGTTAAGCATATAATCATACATTAGGATACATGTGATCGCATACAATACACATACATAAGCACAAGTGTCAAAAGAAAGAAAATGAGAGAGGGGTTTGTCTTCCATTCCTTCCCATGGTCTTTGGCCCTTGCTTTGTCTGGCCAGGGTGGATGCATGGTACTTTCACACACATGGCTCACGTGTGTGACTGTGGGCCCACCAGGCGAGTTCGCATGCGAACTCCCTGGGCCTGGCTTGGTCGGGTACGTATGACATACAATACCGGACGCCACGGAAAAGGAGGGCATGCATGATATCGTAGCGAACACAATATCGAATGTACGCGTCCGTACCATCATAGGCATAACTGGGGAGTGCCCCATGTACATAACACATAGCGTGCATGAGGTCCTTAAGGTTTACCTCCATGGAATTATACATACAACATTCCATCCCCTCACCGCATTACATAGCATAATTGGGTTAAACATATCGTAGCATACTAGTCATCACATTCATGGCATGCGAGGTTCTCATTACAATCATGACATGTCAAACAAGCCCATGCATACAAGGTAGAAAACCGTGGCACAAACATCACATACATAGACATGGCATACGTCAGCGTTTCACGGCAAGAACACATAACCTAGCATACATCAACAACACACATGGTGCATGTAAGGGCCACAGGGCACTCACCATCATACATACATAACTAACACCAACAGTAAGGTTACTTACCTCCTTGGCCTTGGCCGAAGTCACTCACAACGCTAACTCCAGCGCCTAACTACCTTCTCTAAGATAACATGATACACTTAGAGCCATTTCACAACTAGCTCTTATGCCTAGCTACCAAGGTACGTCCCTATCACAAACTGTTTTATCAAAATGGAGTTATAATGACCTCAGATGGTTGAAACAATGGTGGGAATGGCTCAAGAAGGGTCGAAAACCTAGGAATTGGTATATTATTCGTACGTTGAGCCGGTAAGCCGAGCCGGTAAGCCACGTCGCCGAGCCGAGCCTGGAGTGCAACGAAGCCGCCGATGAAGCTGAAGTCGATGGGCTGCGAAGACCACTGACGACGCAAGGTTTCTAGATGCGTCTGGGCGTCACTGGTTTCAGGCCGAAATGGGACGCAGCCCAGTGGTGGTGTCGGCCGAGACGATCGCAGAATACCCGAGGACCGACTTGCGCTCGTCGCTTTGTCTTCCTCACCCGAGCCTCGACAAACCCTAATCGCAGGTCCTAGTTATTGTCGCCAGTGGAATCGTCGTCGTTCGTTCGTCCCTGATGGTGCGTCTGCCCTTCCTTGCCCTAACGTATCTCAGCGTCGGTTTGCTCCTATCTAAGGACTCACAGAAGTCCGAAGTCTCACGACGTTTTCAATTCCTCACCTAAACCTTTCGGCTCCTCCCTCACAGGTACGACAGTGACTCGAAAAGAAAAGACGACTACTAAGGTACTTAGGGTTTAATATGGGGACTCAAGGCATTAATATGCCCTTGCTTGGCAAGGCATGCCTCACCGAAAATATCGAGATAATAACCAAGATAAAACTAAGAGAGCTGAGGCATACGGGCAGTATCCGAGACTATGTTAGGCAATTTTCTAGGCTTATGTTAGATATTCGTGATATGTTCTAGACAGACAATATCTTCAATTTTATTATGGGGATGAAGCTGTGGGTGAAAACCAAACTCTACGAACAAAGAGTTCACAAAGAGTTCAATCCCTTTCCGCAACCTATGCTATTGCTGAACGATTGTTTGATCTTGATAGCGATGAAACCTTGGCAGAATCAAGCATCCACAAGTGATGAAAATGAGAATTATCGACCAAACTCCCCTAGAGGTGGGGTGATAGTCTGAAGACGAGGAGGAGGAATACGAATCCTCCCAATAGAGAGGTAGGGCTCCTTGGCGGAGACCATACAAACAGATTAGTCAGAGTCAAAGTCACGACCCCCTTCTTGCTTCATATGTAAGGGGCTCACCAAGTATCTGAATGCCCACAAAAGGAAGCATTATGTGCCTTCCAAGCAAAATTTCAAGCTAATTCAAAAGTTGAGTACGAAATAGTAGAAACAGAAACACCGTTAGATAGGACTATTGGATTTTTCCGTGTTGGGGCGCTAAAGTACTTGTCCGCTCTTTAGATGAGAGTGGAAGAGATAGAAAAGTCAGTGGTATGCGATCTTATGAATTTTGAGATTTTGGTAAATCATAGAGCAGCAAGAAACACTATTGTCAACTCTGGAGCCACTCACAACTTCATGACGGAGACCAAAGCAAAACATTTGAATATCTTTTGGCATCGGGATGTAGGGAAGATAAAGGTCGTCAATTCAACAGCCTTACCCATATTAGGAGTTGCGAAGAGAACTCCCATCAAACTGGGGACTTGGACAGGACAAACCAACTTTGTGATAGTCAAGATGGATCACTTCGACATCGTGTTAGGGATGGACTTCCTACTAGAACACAAAGTCATCCCCATGCCCCTAGCAAAAAGTTTAGTAATAACAGGGTCAAACCCGACGATTATCTAGACAAACACCCGTCAGCTAGGAAGGGTGAAAAAGATGTCAGCACTACAGTTGAGGTAGGATCTAAGCCGTGATGAACTTACACTCACTGTCATTACCGTATCGGAAGAGGGAAGCTCGAGAGAGCCAACCTCAACAAAAGTCTCGCGGTCAACTCAAAAACATTGCAACATGAGACAAGGAAGTCGGACAAAGTATTTATCTCCAGATAGGAAGATAAATAACAAGGTTGATGTCATATCAAGGGCAGAATCACCTGCCACGAACGAATGTCATACTTCTGAACCTGAGCGAGCTGATTTTACGAGCAACTAAGTGACTTACTAACAGTTGGGTCCATCAAGCCCTCAAATACCACTGTTAGTGATCACCCAAGGGTTAGATAGAGACACTTAGGCAACACTGTCGTTGAGGGAGGGAGATAGAGACAAACCTCAGAAACAACACATGGTCACGTAGAAGTACCATCAAGACAAAGAAAGAGAAGGGTCAGTCGAAAGCGTCGACCACGACAGTTTCAAGAAGGAGAGAGTGTTCTTATCAAATTGAGGTCAGATCAACTCCAAGATCAAAACAACAAGAGTCAAAGACTGGGGAGAAAATACTATGGACTAGTCGAAGTTATTCACAAGATCGAAAAGACATCGTATAGGATCCATTTGCTCCCATGGATGCGGACTAGCCCTGTTGTCCACATCAGTAACATGAAATGCTACTCTTCTAAAGTAAAAGACGTCAAGCACATATAGGTGACACGACCTCACACAAAGAAGAAGAATCCCGAAGCACAAGATGTATGAGAAACTTTGACGGAGGAGACGTCAAGAGCCAACGAACCAAGAAGCAGTTTTCAACAGCTCCTTACAGAATTGACGAGACTCTGCAACACTGAAATCAACTGGAAACACAATGAAGAACTAAAAGTCAACCTCAGCCTAGAACACACAGTTGTAACGAGTCGGTTGACAGAGACATCAACCAATTGAGTGGGGGAGGATGTCACGATCATGTTTGTCCAAAGCATGTTGCTTATGGCCGCATGACAGATGTTCTAGTCTTTCTTGATCAGGTCGGTTGACAGGGACGTCAACCAATTGAGTGAGGGAGGATGTCACAGTCATGCATGTCCAAGGCGTATTGCCGCATGACAGATATCCCGGTCTTGCTTGTCCAGGATGTGTTGTCCATGGTTGCATGCCCATTCCAAACCCCTTTTACATGCTTTACCATTCCATATTGGGTCAGTATGAGGGTGTATGACCGTTCATCAAAATCGTGTCTACACTTGCAAGGGCTAAAATTGTTAAAATAAGACTCACTAATTTGTGAAGTAAATCTCACATACACTAACGATAGAATGCTCTGATACCACTTTGTGAAAATACTACTCGGAGAGACAAGGAGACGAAGGACACTGATTTTATCAAAAAGCCTTTTCTCTCTTGTTCTCTTTTTGCTCTCGTCCTACCATCATTCATACAAATTAACTTTTTAAACCTACCTACCATAAACCTATAGGACACCCATAAACCTACCATCATTCATACAAATGCTCTCGGCCTTTTCTTTCACTTGACTTTTTAAATTAACTTTTCTAACAAATTAACTAAAGTTAACATTTAACAACGTTATTTCAACAAAACTCCCCCATAAACTTAAATGCTCCTACAATCTGTCATGCCAATCATCTTCTTGTATTTGTCGAAAAGTAATTTCTGTAGCGGTTTTGTAAAGATGTCCGCATCTTGATCCTGACTTGCCACATGCTGCAATTCCATGTTTCCTTCCTTCACATGATCTCGGATAAAGTGAAATCAAACGTCAATGTGTTTGCTTCTTTCATGGTTCACTGGGTTATTTGTCAACTTAATTGCTTATTTGTTATCAACTTGAATCATAGCTGCACCTCGTTGCTTTAGCTCCATCTTGCTCAACAAATTTATAAGCCATATCGCGTGACACACACACCAAGATGTTGCCACATACTTAGCTTCACACGTCTAGAGTGTCACGATCGGTTATTTCTTTGAAAGCCAAGTAAATATTGTGTTGCCCATAAAGATACATAACCTGATGTACTTTTCCGATCGTCTATGTCTCCACACCAATCACTATCAAAGTAACCAACTAATTTGTAATCTTCTGTTTTCGAGTAGAATAACCCAAGTGACACCATTCCTTGGATGTACCGTAGGACTCGCTTCAACGCCTTCCAATGTGAATAAATCGTCTCCTCCATGAACCTGCTTATAATGCCGACACTTAATGAAAGATATGGCCTTGTGCATGTAAGATAGTGAATGCTTCCTACTAGGCTCCAGTACCTATTTGCATCTACTCATTCTCCTTCATCGTACTTTGAGAGTTTTGCACCTGGTTCCATTGGTGTTGATACTGGGTTGCAATTTTTCATCTTGTACTTCTTCAAAATCTACTTTGTATATTTTTCCTGTGCTATAAAGATACTCGTCTCTCCTTGCTTAACCTCCAAACCAAGGAAAAACTTCAACAAGCTCAAGTTTGTCATCTCAAATTCTTGTGTCATTGTGTTTTTGAACTCTTCTATCATTTCATCATTATTTCCTGTAAAGATGAGGTCATCGACATAAAGAGCGACAAGTATCACATTACCTCCACTCTTCTTTGTGTAAAGTGCATGCTCGTGGGGACATTGTTTGTACCCATTCTCCTTGAAGTATGTATCAATACGAGTAATCCATGCTCGCACCGCCTCTTCAAAGCTGATTTTTTCAACATCTGCCAGAAGACATACAAGGTGTACCTCATTTGTTGAGTCATACAAGTCTCGCAAACTTCGCATTTTGGGTTGTCGTGGTTCATCTTCATCATTTAAAATTTCTGAGTCTGTTGGTGCACTTGTTGGTGCAACGACTGATGATTCTTCAACTTCGATATTGACTTCCGTCGAATTTGTTCCAGTCTCATTCGCTTGCTTCATTTACTCGCACATCACGACTCACTATCCCCATCTTGCTTATCAGGTCAAGTAGCTTGTATCCTTTTGTCTTCTCACCATATCCAATAAAAATATACCTTTTGCTTTTGTCTTAGAGCTTCGTTCTTCGTTGATCCGGTACGTGAGCATAAGCCACACTACCGAACACTTTGAGATGAGAGGTTGTAGGCTTTTGTCTGCTCCAAGCCTATTGTGGTGTTTGATCATCTAACTTCGCATGTGGACATCGATTTTGTACGTAGATGGTGCATTGCATGGCTTCTGCCTAAAATCTCTTTGGCATCCTTTTGCTCTTGAGCATTGATCGCATGTCGAAAATGGTCCGTTTCTTTCTCTCGGCCGCACCATTTTATTGAGGGGTGCACGGTGCGGTTAGAAATCGCCTTTTGTCTTGCTCCTCTCAATACTCCATGAACGCCGTCGAAGTATACTCGCCACCTCTATCAGATCGTACAGCTTTGATGTGTCTACCAGTTGTCTTCTCTACCATCACTTTGAACTTGGTGAACACCTCTAATGCCTCGAATTTTTCTTTCAGAACGTAAGCTCAAGTTTTTCGTGAGTAATCATCAATAAAGGAAATGAAATAACTCTTTCCGCTGAAAGACTCGGGGGTAATTGGTCCACATATATCCGTATGGATCAACTCGAGAGGTTGTTTAGCCCAAAATTCAGCATTCTTTTGAATTGAGGTTCTCGCATGTTTGCTGAGCATGCATTCTTCACAAAATTTTCCTTCAAAGTCCATATTGGATTACTCATGCACCATATTCTTCTTCGCTAATTCCTTTAGGCCGCCATGACATAGGTGACCAAAGCGGAGATGCCATGGTGATGCCTTGCCTTCTACGTCGATTCGCAAACACTTTTCTCGTATGCTTCTTAAATTCAGTTTGTACATCCGATTTCTTCCTATCTCGACTCGAGCAACCAAACGCCCTTGCTTATCCTTCAGGTGTAGCAGGCGGTCCTTTAAGAATATCGAGTAACCTTTATCTGTGAGTTGTTCCATACTCAATATGTTTGTCTTGAGGTCTGGTACGTAATAAACATCTTGGATTGACCTCATTAAACCATCCTTTTGCAAGAAATGTATCGTACCGTGGCCTTTGACCTCTACCTTTGACGCATCTCTAAATGACACATGACCATCTTCAATCTTTTGCATCTATTTGAATAGGTATTCGTGACCGAACATATGGTTACTTGCCCTTGAGTCGAGGTACCACAAAGTGTCGTTGATGTCGTCTTCATTTTAAGCCATCAAGAGAATACCTTCGTTTGTTGCGTCATCCAAAAATAGGTTGATCGTTTCTTCCACATTTTTCTCGGCTCAACAATCTCTTGCAAAATGCCCCACTATGCTACAATTGTAACATTTGTCGGAGTTACAATCATTCGCATAGTGTCCTTCATTTCTGCTGCCTTGATCACCTCGACCATTTCTGCGACTTCTTCGACCTCTACCTTGAAAATTTAGAGAGTAGAGTACCTTTTCATCTTTTATTGATGCCTTGGTTTGAAGTGCTTGATCGAGTGTTTCCTCCTTCTTCTTACGTTGCTCGTGTGCCTCGAGAGAACCGGCTAGCTCATCGACCGTGAACGTCACTAGGTCCTTTGACTCTTCTATCACACATACAACATTCTCGAAGTTGTAGGTTAATGACCTCAAGATCTTCTCCAGAACCCGCGTCTCGGATAACATTTCTCCGTTACGATTTAGTTGGTTTACCACAGTTTGTACGCACATAATGTAATCAGATACAATTTCTGACTCCTTCATCTTCATGCTCTTCAACTCGCCATGAAGAGTTTGGAGACGCACTTGCTCAACTCGGTCGGTTCCTTTGAACATCTTTTCTAAAGTGTCCCACGCTTCTTTTGAAGTAGTTGCCTTGGCAATCTTCTCAAAGCCCGACTCGTCAACGGCTCGGAACAGTATGTATAATGCCGCCTTATCCTTTGATCGCAATTCTTTTAACGTCTTGTTTTGTGCCACCGTATAACCTGTGGTATCCTTTGGTTCTTCGAAACCTTCTTCGACCTCTTCCCATGCATCTTGAGAACCGAGAAGAGCTTTCATTTGGATGCTCCAATTCTCGTAGTTCATCTTCGTTAGTTGCGGTAGCGGCATTTGACCCATCACATTCGCATCGGCTCTAATACTAATTTGTTAAAATAAGACTCACTAGTTTGTGAAGTATCTCACATTCACTAACGATAGCTCTGATACCACTTTGTGAAAATACTATCGCGTATTTGTGAAGAAGATGTTGAGAGAAGAGAGACAAGGAGAAGGACACTGATTTTATCAAAAAGCCTTTTCTATTGCTCTATATTTCTTCTCTCTTGCTCTCTTTTTGCTCTCTCACTTTACAATAGGTTTTCTAACTCTAATAATAGGTACGAGAGAGCACTCATAAACCTATCATCATTCCTACAAAGGCTCTAGGTCTTTTCTGTCATTGACTTTTCAAATTAACTTTCCTAACAAATTAATAAAGATAACATTTAGCATTTTTAAGTTTATTTCAACAAAAATGCCCCAAAATGTACTCTTGGGGATATGACTAGTTGTATGCAGCCGTAGTTGTTGCCTTTTTGCTTACATTCCCATATAACACCATTTCCAATTTCTTAAATCTTGTTTTCAAATCTCTCTTTTGAAATCTCTCTGCCCCCATTTTCTAAAATTTTCTTCTTCCACTGGGGCTAGAGGCTCAAGCATACATCATTTAGTTGTAGGCGACGCAAGAACGAATAGACTTAACTCACTAGTTACTGGGAAGTGAGTGCCGCACAATCGCAAGTTCGCTACCATTAAAGTGCAATTGTGACACTAAGCATGAGAATAAAAAATTGGTTCACCTCAAGATGAGATTCACCATCCAGAAGATATGTGGCACTAGAACGTGATGAACAACTTCCAGACTCCAAGAAGGACTACGACATTTAAGAGAATCGCTCAAAACTTCAAGACTTACTCAGAAGCTCAACTAGTTGTGAAATTAGGCATGAACTTCTTAGAGCTCGAAGAAAAGCCTATAGTACATACTAGGATGCGATGAGAACTTATAAGTAGGTTCCTTGAGAGCCTACAATTTGGATGAATAAGCTATATAAGATGTACTAAAACGCAACTAGGATGAATTTTGAGATGAATGTAATATGTGATTCATGTGATTGATGGATGTTATCTCCTTGTTAAGTTTGATGAATGTTTAGTTTACATTTTTGGGTGCCTTAGATGATTGATAGAATCATCTCCCTAATAAACGTGCACGAATATTTAGTTCATGAATATCATGCTCTAGGCGATCGATGGAATAATCTCCCTCGTAAATTATGGACAAGAAAACCAAGTTAAGACTAGGGTGCAAGAGTTAGAGTGGTTTCGAGTTGATCCAGGCCACTATATTTCAAGTAGATTGAGCACTCAAGATAACGAGCAGCAATCAAAGGTTTAAACATGTGTGCACCCAGAGAATGAATTAGCTCATCAGAGATATTTAAAGCAAATTTAAAACCGGATTCAAGATTCAAGCATATCAACAAAGTAGATGAAGAATGAAAATAGAATTCAATCGAAACAAGAAGAATGAAAATGAATTGGAGAAGTTTAAGGTGATTTTGAAATTTGAACTCGGAAGAAAAAAGATTTAAAAAATAAATAATAAATTCATGAATTGGTGTGGGAATATTTCCCGTATACAAATGATATTTACGTCCGTATCCATCAATTTGTTACAAAGAATCATAGAAGAAAATGAATTACATACAACAAATTTGAAATGTGGGAATGTATAGAGCTGGTCAGAAAACTCGGATACTTCCACTTAATTCCGCCCACCTGTTCGTGCCACAAGTATACGATAATCTCTTGCCCCGATCAACTCGATCATCGGAGAAGACATAGCTTCAGCTTTCTCTATGGCTATGGCTTCTTGGCCTGCACCACCAACAACAACAATGTTCTAACAACACAACACAACACAACACAACAGACAGTCGTTACCTTCTTTAGATATTTCTTGTGAAGCTTCATTGCTCCAGTGCATGCTTTCTTGGCATCCAGATTTCCAGTCATGTCGTTCAATATCTATCACACAACAAAACGAGACAATAAGAAACCATCAATCGATTCAACTGGAATGCTTACAGCAAATACGACAAATCTCGAACCTTCACAACATCGTCGAGACCCCGAGCTTCTGTAAGCAGCTTTGTGCTCTTATCTTTCAACACACTAGCAACAAGGAAAACAGAGATTGGAAGAGGAGCTTGCGAGTTCTTTGCTTTCAAGTTCTCCCTCTCATATTTCCCGCATTGACGTATCGCTTTTGCTTTTCCTTTCGATCCATCGCCTTTATCACTGCATACATCAGGTTCTTCATACACTGTGAACTGATCAGGATCATATTCCAGTGCCCACATCATCTGTTGCAGCAACACCAAAAGTGTCAAATATTATGCCATTTTTGATGCCATCTTCACCCAACATAGCATCATCAATACAGATATAGAAAAGTACCTCCCAGAGATACAAAGAATCGCAAAACGAAAACTCTCGACGAAACAAAACCATAAGCATCCTGAAAGCGAAAAGATAATCTCCACCACCAAGTGTCTCTGTGTTCATAGAAACCACACATTCAATTGTTACATATTCAGCTCAAATTGTAATAATATAAGTCCATGAGCAATACCCAAGTGTTGATGAAGCTTTGGATCAATCACTTGCGTGATAGCAGCCAGATTACTGAGTTGAGTCTCCACACCAACAGAGCTATCCGTGCATCGGAAGTTCCCTCGCTTTATAATTTCAAAAATAATACTTCATGAGAATCTAAAATGCAAATAAAAATGCAAATATATTTAAGACTATCTACGTAAAACAAGCTAACAAAGAACTTGATCGATTGATGAAGAAAGGTTAGTACCAATCTGCGCATCAAACGTTCAAAGCACCAAAACGCATCGCCTTCATCCTCGAGAAGCATTATCATGGGGGAACAAAGATCACTCATTCCTACTCAAAAATATTCATAAAGTCAGGTTTGAAACATGTACTTTCTCCAAAGAAATGGATAATTCCATGGCAGAGTCGTCAATCGATAATCTAGAAAACCTATCTCGTTTTTCAGAAGAGAAAGGCTTTAATGAAATTACGCACCTTGACAGTAGCCAACATCTTTATCGATCCAAGCATAAACAGCAAGAATATCCCAAAGTTTCGACAAGTTTTCTTGCTTTTCATAGAACACCAATGTTCTGTCAGTCCGAACCACATCAAGACCTGGAATGAACATTTAAATACTGATCAGCTTAACTACCAACTGAGTTATGTCACAACAAGACCACTACTTGAAGTAGATGAAGCAAAGAAGTATTAGAAGTGATGAAATTTGACCAATCTGTGAATGTATGCAATGAAAGCTTCTACTAACCTATCTGATGTAAAGTAAGCATCCACTGAATTATTTTTGGATCGGTCACAGGATCCATACTATTAGAAGAATTTGATTGTGAATTTGATTGTGGAACATTCGGATCAGCATCAGCATTGGCATTGGCATTGGCATCGGCATCAGCATTGGCATCAGCATTGGCATTGGCATTGGCATCGGCATCGGCATCGGCATCAGCCTCAGCAACAGCATCGGCATTGGCATCGGCATCGGCATCGGCATCGACATCGGCATCGGCCTCGGCAACAGCATCGGCATCGGCATCGGCAACAGCAACAGCATCGGCAACGGCATCAGCAACAGCAACAACATCAGTATCGGCAACAGCATCGGCATCGGCAACAGCATCGGCATCGGCAACCTCATCGACAACAGCATCAGCATCAGCATCAGCTTCAGCATCAGCGTCAGCATCGGCATCAGCTTCAGCATCAGCGTCAGCATCGGCATCAGCATCAGCATCAGCATCAGCATCAGCATCAGCATCAGCATCAGCATTGGCAACAGCATCGGCAACAGCAGCAACAGCATCGGCAACAGCAGCAACAGCATCGGCAATAGCATTGGCATCGGCATCAGCGTTGGCAACAGCATCAGGATTGGCAACAGCAACAGCATCAGGATTGGCAACAGCATCAGCATCGGAAACAGCGTCGGAAACAGCATCGGAAACAGCATCGGTAACAGCATCGGAAACAGCATTGGCAACAGCAACGGCAGTATCTTGGGGTATAAGCGGACCACTCCCTGGATTTGTTTCCAAAAGTACAAGCGGATCATGAATAGGCGTACCATCCTCTGTGATTACAGGAGCTGTGATGTATCTACCACTTCCAACGACAGGAAACATCTGTCGACAGTCTTCCTTAAACGTGGCATACTGTATCCTGCAAGTACAAAAGCTCACATCTAACCATTCGTGTAATTTAGAGAAGTCTTGCTACGATTTACTAGAAATTCTTAAATAATTGACAAGAAAACAACATGTTCCCACTACGTTCATGAACTATGGTCAACAAATGGTACAAGCTGCAAGGTATATTGGTTAGGATTTCATGATTACTTTATTACAAGCATTTGCCTATAACTCTCGGTTATAGGAAACTATAGAGAACGGTTAGTTCGAACGGTTTGAACTATGCAGATTATCAGAGTGGCTTCGCTCATAGTGCATCGAATTAGATTTAAATCAATGCAGTAATGTAGGAGAATTAAATAGGACTACCTTCGACGCTGGCGAATCTCTTCTCTTTCCTCATAGGTGCTGGTAGGATCATAACAACCAAGAAGAAACTCCCACACTTCTCCTCTGATTGAAGGATGGATCCCCTGTATTAGATGCAAATTTTGAAAAACAAGAACATTATCGTTGGACCTTTGATTATTGCTATCTCGATCGCATAGTTTCTTGAATATTCTAAACCTTCCCAAAGAACAAACTATTAGAAGATAAAGTTGAGCAAGAACTAAAAAACAGAATTGAACAATGAAATTGAACGTACCCCACGATGAATGCGATTTAGAGTCTTCGCAATGTCCAGTTGGCCTTCGGGATTGAATGCTCCTTGCCATTTTCTAACACTCAAGGTCTTCCCAGCCTGCATCATCAAAAGGCAAGTTTAGAGTGTCCATGAAAACTATGATCCTAGAATTGAAGATAAAGAAGAGGAAAAGGAAACAGACCCTGATCTTGAAGCGGGTTTTGGGAACATCGGTGCACTCAGGGCGAACCTCATAGAAAGAATCAGCAGGAGCTCCAGCGTCCCTCCACATTCCCTCAAGACACCAGAATCACAACCCAGAGATGATTAGAAAGAAGAGCGATTAGAAAGCAAGAAATCCGCTGACCCCCAGAGATGATGAGACCCCAGAAGAGCAAAGAAAAGAACAGAAAAAGGGAATCGAGGGAGAAGGGGAAAGAAGGAAGACCCAGAAGAGAAGAGGATGAGAAGAGGGGTCCGTGGGGGCGGGGGGTGTGAGGGCTGGGTAGCAGATCCAGCTCCAAATAAGCAGATTAAGAACCCAAAAATAAATACAGAGAGGAAGAAGAGGAAAAAGGGGCGAAGAAAAATGGAATGAACAAATTAATGGATACGAAGAAATGGAAGTTGGGGGAATGGTTGAAAATGGAGAGGAACGAACCCTCTTCCTCATTTTGTCTTACTCTGTCAAATCAAACCCTTCATGTTTTTCGCTCAAACCCCACACCATTCCCTTCCTCTAACAAATTTAACCTCCCAAATCCTTCGCCTGACTGTTTTTCTTTTTTTTTTTTTTTTTTTTTTTTTTAAGGGAAAAAACAAAATAAATTAAATCAAATTAGATATTTAAATATTGGAATGCAGAAGAAAAGACAGAGAGAGCGTGGAGCCCACGACAATGGTAGCCCCCATATTCCACGCTGTCGTTGACTCAGTCCCAGTTGAACTCGACCAGAGTTGTTGACTTTGACCACTCTGCTTTGGGCTCATGGGTTGGGCCTCACAACAGAACAAAACACTGCTTCATCCAAAATAAAAATAATAAAAAAGAGTTTTTATTTAATATAATAATGATGAAGTTTTAAGAATGGTAACATGTAATTAACAATGATAAGTTTTTATTTCCCGTTTATTAATTATTCGAGAAAACGTAAGAAAAGATATTGGGGTTAGAGGTTTATATTTTAGACGGTGCTCTGAGACTTTCCTTTCTGTATTATTTGTATGTTTTTACTTGAAGTCATTGACATAAACCTCTCTCCAATATTTTTCTTATGTTTTCTCTCTAGTTCTTTGGGTTTTTTATCTGCATTAAAGGTGTGAGTTGTGAAATCCTAATGTTTGATGATGAAAATCCCACGTCCGGCTAATTTAGGGAAATGATCATGGGTTTATAATTAAATAATACCATCTCCATTGGTTTGAGACTTTTTGGGAAGCTCACAGCAAAGTCATGAGAGTTTATGCTCAAAGTGGACAACATCATACCATTATGGTATCAAGAGTCATGCCCTAAACTTAGCCATGGTCAATAGATTGGTAAATCTTCAAATGTCGAACAAAGGACTCCAAAAGAAAAGGAGTCGAGCCTCGATTAAGGGGAGGCGTACTTTGTTCGAGGGGTGGGGTTTATTTAAGTTAGGCAATTTATCTCTTCATGTTCTATGACAAGGTTTGTCATTCTCCTTAGCTCGTATCTCATCTCTTGCGCTGAACCAATTGACTATGTCATGATCTCCTATTGAGGCTAAATATCGAGCTTTAGCCAACACACTTTGTATGCATATTGGTTGCACGAGCTATGATATAACCATTCGTGTTTTTCTTCGCATCAAATTTTGCTAACACACGAGTCAACAAATCATTGGAGTTTCTATATAGAGAGTAAAGTAGGAACATTACATTAATATTTGATGTGATAAGTTGGAGTTTCTAAGTTTGTCATTTTGTTTCCTTATATGGTTTGAGGGAATAATAATCAATTGGTGGGAGATATGTTGACTTTTTATCTTTCTTCACAACAAAGCAATTCTAAAGGGACATTAATCTATGTTTTACGCCTCTCATTATACACACTTTCCACGGTGGAAATAATTCCAAGTTTTCCCCAAAAACAATAATATAAATAAATAACGACCACGACCACCATTGATAAGGCAACTTTAATCCTCAGCCCAACGATCAAAACTTTTATTTTAGCAAGAACTCTTTGAATCAAAGTAATTAACACCTCCTAATGCGAAATTTGGATCAACCAAGAGATAAGGCTAGAATTAGATTACCTCTCTTACGATCGAAGATCTAGAAGCAAGATTTGGAACCTTATTCTAAATTGAGTCACTCTACAATCTAACTTGATCTAGGCTTGATTGAATGGCTCAGGTGCAATTCTACCACAAGAATTGCTTGAAACTTAGAAATGGCAAATATGATGTTCGGATTTCTAAGGGAAACGTTTCAATTTGAGATCTGAATTACATTCATCAACGAATCTGATTTTTACATAACATATTGTGGGTATTTATAGTCTCCCGACAAAAGACGTTTGTGGTCGGGATACAATCCCGATCCCCTTTAATCTCCACAAATGACGAAGTCAATTTTGACCAATTGACCATTGCAAAATGAAAACAAAAAAACAATAAAATTTTCCAACAAATGTTATATGTTTGAGTGGCTAAAGAAATAAACTTGAAATCTATTAGGCTTCACTTGTGTAGGGTTTGTGAAGGTCAAACCCTGTCCAGTTTCATCAACGAATCTGATTTTTACATAACATATTGTGGGTATTTATAGTCTCCCGACAAAAGACGTTTGTGGTCGGGATACAATCCTGATCCCCTTTAATCTCCACAAATGACGAAGTCAATTTTGACCAATTGACCATTGCAAAATGAAAACAAAAAAACAATAAAATTTTCCAACAAATGTTATATGTTTGAGTGGCTAAAGAAATAAACTTGAAATCTATTAGGCTTCACTTGTGTAGGGTTTGTGAAGGTCAAACCCTGTCCAGTTGGAACATTTGGAACACCGTGATTTTTTGTTAATCCTTGAAGCAACTTTGAAATTTTGGGTCTCAGCGTTACTCACAAACATATTAGAAGGAATAGGGATTAAATCCATAAGCAATTTCAAAAAGAGAACAATGAGTTGTACTATGAATTGCTCTATTATATGCAAATAATAGCCCAAGCAATGCTCCTAATGTTTTATTAACCACCTCAGTTTGTCCATCGGTCTGAGAATGACATGTAGTTGAAAACAACAATTTGGTACTCAATTTACCCCACAATACTTTCCAAAAGTGACTTAGAAATTTAGCATCCCTATCACTAACAATTATTCTACAGTTTGTCCATCCGTCTAAGGATGACATGTAGTTGAAAACACCAATTTAGTACCCAATTTACCCCATAATACTTTCGAAAAGTGACTTAGAAATTTAGCATCCCTATCACTAACAATTATTCTAGGGATTCCATGTAATTTTACTACTTCCCTAAAAAATAAGCCAGCAACATGTTTTGCAACGTCCGTCTTGTTACATGCAATAAAATGAGCCATCTTACTAAATATGTCTACCACAACAAAAATACTATCTTTACCCTTTTTTAGTGTGCGGTCAACCAAGAACAAAATCCATAGCTATATTAGTCCAAGGTTCATTAGGTACATTCAAAGGAGTGTACAATCCATTTGGTTGTGACCTAGATTTAGCTTCTTTGCATTTAAAGCATTGACTACAAAATTTATGAACATATGCTTTATTTTCGGCCAAAAGAAGTGTTCATGCAACATATTATAAGTTTTTATAATCCCAAAATGTCTCATTAAGCCACCACCATGTGCTTCTTTAACAAGCAAATCTCGGATAGAGCATTTAGGAATTCAAAACTTACTTTTCTTAAATAAGATTTCATGAAACACATAATAATCATCTACAACTGTTTTTGTAAGACAAGATGCATAAATAATTCCAAAGTCGTGGTCATCTCGATATAATTCTTTAATATGCTCAAATCCAAGAATTTTTGCATTGAGAGAAGTAAAAAGATTGTACCTTCTAGATAATGCATCAGCTACCACATTATCCTTACCTTGCTTATTTTTGATGACATACGGAAATGTTTCAATAAATTCCACCCACTTTGCATGCCTACGGTTCAGTTTGCTTTGACCCTTAAGATACTTCAAGCTTTCATGATCAGAGTGGATCACAAATTCTCTAAGCCATAAGTAATGTTGCCACACCTACAATGTGCGAACTAAAGCAAACAATTCTTTATCATAGGTAGGATAGTTCAATGCTGCCCCATTTAGTTTTTCACTAAAATACATTACGGGTTTGCCGTCTTGCATCAAAACAGCACCTATGCCCAAACCACTTGCATCACACTCAATTTCAAAAGTTTTATCAATGTTAGGCAAGACAAGTAATGGTGCATTGGTTAATTTATTCTTAAGCTCATTAAATGCATTCTCTTGCATATCTCTCCATTTAAAAACAGCATTCTTTTTCACCAAGTCATTTAATGGTGCAGCTATGGTGCTAAAATCTTTTATAAATCTCCGATAGAAGCTAGCTAACCCATGAAAACTACGAACGTCACTTGCATTTTGTGATGTTGGTCAATCCCTGATTGCTTTAACTTTCTCTTCATCTACTTCTACTCCATTTTTACCAACTATGAAGCCAAGAAAGTTAACTTTTTTCATGCAAAAAATACACTTATTAAAATTAGCATAAAGTTTCTCTTTTCTAAGTGTAATCAAAACTAACTTAACATGCTCCACATGCTCATGGAAGGTCTTTGAATAAATTAAAATATCATCAAAATACACAACAACATGTTTTCCTAAATATTCTCTCAAAACATGATTCATTAAGAGCATAAATGTACTAGGAGCATTAGTTAACCCAAAAGGCATAACAAGCCATTCATACAATTCAAACTTAGTTTTGAACGCGATTTTCCATTCGTCTCCTACATGCATTCTAATTTGATGATATCCAGATTTCAAGTCAATCTTTGTAAATAAACATGAACCATGCAATTCATCAAGCATATCGTCTAGCCTAGGAATAGGATGTCGATACTTTACCGTGATTTTGTTGATGGCTCTACAATCCACACACATGGGCCACGTTCGATCTTTCTTCGGCACCAATAAGATTGGTACAGAACATGACTCAAACTCTCTCGTATATAGCCCTTCTCCATAAGCTTCTCTACTTGCCTTCGAATTTCTTTAGTCTCAGTTGGGTTGGCTCTATAAGCTGGCTTATTAGGAATTATCGCCCCTGGAATGAAGTCTATTTTATGTTCAATACCTCTAATTGAAGGTAGTCCTTTAGGGACTTCATCTTGGAATACGTCATCAAATTCCTGTAAAAGAGATTGAAACATACTAGGCAAAGACAAATTATCATCGTTAGAGACCAAACATCCTTCCTTGTACACAAGTACAAAGATGGTTTTTTGTGAGAACATTGCCCTTCTAACCTCTCCAACTCTAGCCAAACAACTCACATTCTTTCCTTTTTCTCCAATTTCATTCTTTTTTTTCACTATGGTTTTCTCGTTGACTTTTCTCTATTTTTTCACTCAACTCTTTTTCCTCAAACTCTTTTTTTTTTTTTTTCCAACTTTAATTGATAAGCAAATACATTTGCAGAACTCAAAGGCACAAGAGTGATTTTTCTACCATCTTTTACAA